ATGCAAATCTCCCCACTGACCTCTTGCCTACATAGTTTGGAGTCTGATCCTGTTTGGCTGCTGCTAAGCTGCAGTGGAAGCTATGTGACCATCAGAAAGAGGGAAAGAGGGGAGGGGGTGATGGAAAGAAGGAGAGAAAGTAGAGACAGAAAAAGGTACGAAAAGGTGGGAGGGTGAAGGAGAAGTCACAGCCGGGGCTTGTGATGTGGGGGAGGATCAGTGATGACAGCTGGAAATAAATGTATTGTGAGGTCAGTGTGTCTGTTGGCAGGAACCCTCTCTCTCTCTCTCTCTCACACACTCACTATCTCCCCACGCGCACACACACACACACACACACACAGAAAACACACACAGAAAACACACACACCAGAAATGAAGTGCCCACCTAGGCCACTGGTTGGTTTGATCTCAGGAGACTGGCGTGAACACGAGGGGAAGAGTCGGTGGGATGTGCAGCCTTTGGAGGACTGGGTGGGAGAGGTCTCAGAGAGGACCTGAGTGGGGCCATGGAGACCAGGGGTTAAGATGGAGACGGCTGCTACAGTAAATCAGGGACCTGATGTCTCTCATTCACTTAAACAAAACCATAACACTGTTAATATAAAAAAGAATAAAGAAAACTGCTCAACTAGAGAGACTGGAATTACTATGTGGAAAAATAAACACCCAGTCTTCATTAGCACTACATCCTGCCTACTTGTGAAACACCAACATTATGGTCTGGTACCTCCATGGAGCCCGTCTTGCGGTTGCGGATCATGGGGGACCTTCGCTGGATGTTGATTGGCTCGGAGACAGGAAGTGCCTGGTCCGGCTGGTCCTGGGAGAGGTCCTCCAGACTTCCCTGATTGGGCTTTTTGTCTTGATTCTAATTGGAAGACACAAGAAGAAAGTAATTTACATTTCATATGTTCTTGTCAAACAAAAAAGTTTATCTATGTTGACATAGTTCACTTCTTCCCTAGCAGAATATTACAAACTCTATATTTCAAAGTAAAGATTTGTTTCAATATTACCTTTTTTTCACTTTTTCCTCACTAATATACACAGTGCACACAAGAACATGCTGCAAAGTCTGATGAAAGCACTTTGTTTGTAAGAGAAACGTGCTTCAAGTTTCTGTATTGTAATATTAAGGAGTCAAACACAGTCAACAGAATGTGTCTTCACACAGACAGACAGCCACCACAATGCAATGGCCTGAATACCAGTGTGGCAGAACATGAAGGTTTAATTACAGTGCACTTGACAAATGCTTGATGTTTACAAACATTAAAATGCAACTGCAGTATTTTCCTGCAGAGAGAGTTGGATGCTAGTTTTTGCCATACACTGTATGTTTGAATGTATTTTCACAACACTTTCTCAGAAGGTTTTGTCCTCAGTCATTGTGCAAGAATTCAAAGTAACTAGTCTAGTTGCAATTTTCCAGTAAAAGGCATAAAACCTCTGAATGTAATAATGTACCACCATCAAACTGTGTACATGTAGAGAGAAGATTAGATCTCTACTTTTGGCAATTTACATTTTTTAAAACCATTTTTTAAAATGGATGTTTTTCAGGGGTTTTATATAATACTGGACGAAGGCTATTGCCTTTTATAATGTACCATAAAAGGAACAAAAACACACATTTTTATAAAGGCAATAAAATCCAATGTTCATAAACAGACAGACTGCATCAAACTGGTACAGCATGTCTTGTCAAATGCATAACCATTGTCAAAAAGATCAATTGAATGACATTTGGAGGATATTCTCTTTTCAAATATATTTAATGATTGCCTCTAGATTTGTAAACTAAAACTGTGCAACCTTAGAATGCCAACTGGGGGCCACATACACTGAAAGAGAAACAAACATGCAGGAAACAGACAAACACACACCTCTGAGGAGGCTGGGCGGAAGCCAAAGCCAAGAGGTACGTTCTCCTCATCTTCACACCCTTTGACTCCTGGACTGAAGTGAAGTTCAACATGGAAACGCTCCTCTGAGGAGGGGTCCTGCCCACGACACAGACAAAGAAATCTATTTATACATAAAATGCAGTGGTAAGGCTGACAGGATATAAATGAGACAGTCACCACTACTGCACAGTTATACAGCTCCTTGCAAGCTGACCTTATTGTTGTCTTCATACAGCATAATGACTATCTGTGTCATGTAGTTGAGCTCGGTCACAGCACTCAGGTAGTCCATTGCCTGTTTCCACTGCTGGTCCTTCTCCTCCTGATACACACACAACAAAAACAAATGAAGTTTATGCAGTAGAAAACATTTCTGATGATGAATTATATTAAACTACAGTCTATAATCCCATCCACCAGACCTCTGTTAATATATTTATTAAAAGCTGACTTCAACTCCCAAAAGTTTCCCCATACTATATGGACATTAACCTGCTTGTAGTTAGTGCAACTTTAAAAGAAGCATCCATGTCTAGATCTAGAACAGCAACACTTGGAGGAAAATAAAATGGTCAGAGACGATAAAATCAGAACGTACATCCAGCAGTCCGCCGTAGCGGAAAATGCTGAGCAGGGAGTGAACGTGGCTCTCGCTGGTGAAGTAGAGACGTGTGCGGACATGGCGACCAGGAGACATCACACCACGAGAATACCTGAACACCAGGGGACAGGAAATGACACAAAGACTTCCAGTCAACTCAGTATGTATATGGTGTGTATTTACATTAGGTACTGGTTCTGTGTGTGTATGTGTAAAAAAAAA